ATGAACCAAAGGCAAATTAGAAATAATGCCCCAATTCTGCAACAGCAAAGGAGATTAACCATGGGATCAAACACCCAAGGGAAGTGGTGGATTCTCCATCTGAATATCGGATGCCTTTCTAGAAAAGCGGTTTAATCAGACAAAGGTATTGGTATCAATACAGGGGGACTGGGCGAAGTTTAGTGACCTGTAATATACAGGAGCTCAGAAGAGATAAGCTCACACTCCCTTCTGCCAGTAAATACTACGGCTCTAGGAATACAGCACTTTGAATTCATTGGCTGAAGTAAACCCCAATCCTGCAAGGCTCCTAGCACCCTGCACTGCCACTCAGGTCTAGCTGCTTTTCCGGAATAAGCTGCGAGCTGTCTACACTGGCTCCTTGAATTTCCGGAAAAGCAGTGATGATTTACTGTAAGAAATCAGCTGCTTTTCCGGAAAAACTATGCTGCTCCCGCTCGGGCAAAAGTCCTTTTTCCGGAAAACTGTTCCTGAAAAGGGGAAGTGTAGACAGCACAGTAGTCTTTTCCGGAAAAAAGCCCTGATGGCGAAAATGACGATCGGGGCTTTTTTCTGGAAAAGCGCGTCTACATTGGCCACAGACGCTTTTCCGGAAAAAGGGCTTTTCCGGAAAAGCAGCCTGCCAGTGTAGACGCTCTTTTTCTGGAAATACTTATAACGGAAAACTGTTCCGTTTTAAGCATTTCCAGAAATTCATGCCAGTGTAGACACAGCCCTAATGTATAGAGGAAAATCCTATTTTGCAGGCAGAGGTGGTTGGTAGTAGTAGCTATATATGCGTTTCACTACGACGCCATAGCCCTTCACTAATCGGCAGACACCACAGGCAGAAATTGAAATGCCTAATGCACAGGGCATCTCTTTCTCCACTCATTTAAAAACCAGTATAGCCCCACTGGCTTCAGAAGAGCTACTTTTGATTTGCAGTGGTTAGAGGAGACTCAGACCCTGCAGAGTCGAATGTCTCTTTCAATGCTTCCTTCAGAGGCTTGTCTCTCTTACATAGGAAATATTCAAATTCCTGTGGGATGGAGTGGCCATTTGTTTAACCACTTTGAAGACTGCAGATGTCACTGAAAAGCTAAAGCATTCCTCAGCCTGGCAGTGTGGAAAGTGCCAGCCCAGGGAAGGCTAATGCAAACTGCAAACCCACAGATCCCTCTGCCAGCCTCACACCTCCCCTCCTTTAGCTGGTGTTTCAGTCCTCATGGCGACAGAGGGCACTATTACAAGTGTGCCATTCACTCCCCTTTTTTTCCCCCCTATTCAAGCAGCCCCATTTCTCTGTGCTGCATTCAATGGCCTGGTTTATCTAATATTCCTCTCCTCCCACATCCCCAAACTTCCCCCTGGTGGAAGCAATGGATGGAGGTTCAGTATACCCAAGGTATCATCAAGACTTGATCTAAGTGAGATAAAATGAGGTGGACAAAGCTCCTGAAGACAAAATTAATGAGGCACAAGTACAGCGAAAACTGGAAGAAAAAATAATTCAGGGGATCAGATTTTGACTTTGGTTATACCAAGTTCAAACCAAGATCTCACTCGACTGACGCCAGTGTAACATGGATCAGAGACTAGCTTAGAGACTGCCAACGCTAAACATTTGCTTAAGGAGGTTTTACAAAGAGTTACTTCTGCCATTTTGTAATTCTGGCTAAAGTCAAGTTTAATATTGGATACACCCCCTTATCATGACAAAGTGGTCCAGAACCCGCCCTCAGTCAGACGCACATAAATCCAGAGTAGTAGCTCTACTGAAGTCAGTCAGTTAGATATGCTGTCTTTATGCTGGTGTTAACTGCTAGTAGGATATGGCCAGATTCTGTTTCCACTGAGGACAACGGGAATTTGACTCTGACAGAAACAATCATGAGCCCTGTTACCAGCAAGGAAGATAGACTGTGGTCAGAGAACTTATTTAAATGGAAACTGGAACCAAAATAACCAGTCAATGGTCATTCACATTTTTATTTATTTCAGAACAATTCTATACGTCACACTCTGACTTCAGAATAAGAGTGCCGTAGTGCAATTCGATTTATTTCACTGCAAGCTGCTCCACACACAGACATATCTAAACCAGATGAAATTCCCACTTTCAATAATTTCTCTTACATGCCAATAATTTTTTTTCTATGTCTAATATGTCGTCCTTATCTTTCAGGGTTTTAAGCCTTGATTTCAGGTAAAATGATGACAGAATCTATATGTGCCTTTAGCACAGATCAATCAGTTACAATTTATACACTTTAGGTCACAGATAAAATACAACCAAAAGGACGTAGCCTAAGCAACAAGTATCTGATTGCTCTAGAGAAGACTTGTGGGATGTTCTCTGGCTTTGGAATGCTTGTCTGTAAAACTAGAAATACACCAAATAATTTCATGGGCAATCAGCTTTAAAACACACACACACACACACGCTTCTGTCTAAAATTGTTTACCTGCTATTGCTAAACATAACACCTAAATTCAAAGTGATAAATCTCAGTTTGATATCAATTAAGAGAAAATGATATTTTTCAGCTTGCTTGTTTCTGCATTTGATAGCACTCAGTGGTAAAGTCCATCTATATAGGGAAAGGGAGCAGCATAATCACAGAAACTGAAAAAGGAAACTGAGGGGTTGCAGTAATACTGGAAACTACCTTAAACTTTCATGATTTCAGATGACACTTAAGTCCCTTTAGGTGAGTCTACATTGCACCGTAACTTGAAATAAGATACACAATTGGAGGTAGACTACTGCATATCTTATTTTGATGCTATTTCAAAATAGGCTATTTCATTATTTGGCACTGTCTACATAGTGCCAAATTTTAAAGCGCTATTCCAAAACATCCCTTCCTCTTCGTCAAAATGTCAGAACAGCGAGCCTGAAGTAATGGGTTTGTTGTGAAGACGCGTGATAGCTATTTCGGGACACTGCGGTATTCCAAAATAGCATTGCAGTGTAGACATAGCCTTTGATTCATTCAATAGTCATCTGTAATATGAGCTCTAAGGGCACAATATCAGCCCACATCAATGACCACCACTTAGGACCAACACAGAGGAAAAGGTTCATAGCGGTGACCACTTTTTCTGGCTGAGGATTTGCCCCACATCTTTACCTGTAAGATGAGCATATTTCATGAGACCTCTTAAAAATGATACTTTTTTCCTGAGTAAGGATATGGTTCTTGTATTGATAGTGCTCAATTTAAAAACAAAAAACAAAAAAAACACCACACTACACACACAACCCTCAACAGGCAGCACTCAGCACCTCAGCAACATGGGTTCCAAATATGTGATTATCTCATTCCATCGTAGTTGTAATGATTCTGTCACTGGGTTTGACTGTCTGAATCAGCAAACCCTTTTGTTCATGTTTAACTTTTAATCCTGTGAGTAGTCCCGTTCAGATCAATATTAGGAGTATTCACAAGATGAAAGTTAAGAAGATGAAAAAGTGTCTTCAGGACCCAAGAAAGGCATCCTCCTATTTTAAACAAAAGAACTCCAGTAAAATCATATAACAGACCAGATTCTCTTCTCAATCACATCAGTGCAATTCCAGTGAAGTTATGTAAAATTTGGCACTGTTTCTCTCTGTGTTGTATGCATAGGTAGCTGATCTATTGCAGTATTTTTTCTACTGAATGTTCCAAATATCAAAATAAAACTGAGGTTATTAGTTTTAAATATACATTTAACCAAAAACTGAATGCAGTTTTCTAGACAGTAAACTTCTAACGGTAAGCATAACAAACTCATACACAAACCTAATGCCTTTTTCATATCATACATTATTCAGCCAACAAGTTATGTGTTGTTATTTTCAAGAAAAGAACTTTAAAGTGATGAAATAGCTCCTATAAAATGGAAAATTGCATGCCATTTACTCCAGACTGGTAAAAATCTACTAACACTTCTGTCAAACAGGTATCTTGAATTTGAGGATAGAACTTTAAAAGCACTTCTGCTGCTATCAGAAGACATCAGTACCCTGTTAAATTATCAGAATTACCTAATATCTCTTTGCAAATCGGAAGCAATTCCTTTTTCAAGGAAAGAGCAAAAAGCAGGCAGTGAAAATTTTCACCCTTTTAGTACAAGACTGTTTATTTTCTAGTTCTGTTACAGAATCTTCTCCCCAAGCATAATGTATTACTGAGAGCAGCCATCTAAGAGAGATTCCCTTCCCCAGTAGGATAACAATTTAACTGGATTTTTGATGCAACACCTGTCTGAGACCTGGCCCATTCTTTCACCTTTGTTGGTCCCTGTCACAGCATTAAAGATATTCTAATTCAAATAGCAGTGCAGATTTTATATTAGTGTATTTCTTGACTTCATCCAATCTAAAGGTACAACCGGTAGAGGCTTTTATCCAGCATTAGAGCCAAAAAAAGTTTGAACATTTTAATGGATATGTGAAATTGAGTATATATAGTACACTCCTTCCATTTTATTTCCTATTACAAACAAGATACAAAGTGAAGGTAATGATCTCATCTGAAAAATGTGTGAAGGCCAAGTGAATTCCCCAGGGAGTTTTCACGGATTCAGGACTTTCTGGAGAGCGGGCATTTGCTTATTGCACACACAGTCTCGTTACGTCTGGCCCTCAGCACACAACGAAGTTGTAACTATCTAGTTAAACCTCTCCTAAAACAAAGGGCACAAATCCGATTTCAGAGCCAGCGAGCAGTTTCGCTGAGCTCCACAGAGTTACTCCGGACCTAGGGTCCCACACTTCCCGAAATCAAAGGGAGTCTCGGCTCGGCTCCTTTACTACTGCACCCCCAAAACTGCATGCGGCCCCGCTGTTTCCAGCCTCCTTTTAGATGCCTTTGCAGAGCAGCTGAAACTTATGCAAATCCTCCAGCGCCCCCAAACGCACCATTCCGGGGCGAGGGGCAGAGAGAGCCGTGCAGGAAGGGGGGAGACCGAAGTGGCGGCGGGCCGGGCTCTGCGACTAGTTAACTCACCTGGGTTCAGGCTGCTTTGGAAGTAGAAAATCACCAGGAGCAAAGAGCCCAGGCAAGTGGCCAGGACCATCCGATGCACCTTGTTTTTCCTCATCCTGGCTCCGGGCAAAGCCCCCAGGGAGGGGGGCCCCCGGGGCAGCGAGCGCAGGG